CACTGACAAACTTATCCAATATATTTACATAACAACATAGATCTATAGTTCATCATGAACTTTGTGGAGCTAACGCCAGCGGGGGGCGCATATCTGAATCCACCCTTCGTTTCCACCTACGAGGGTTCCTCATGGCGAGTCGCCAGGCAGGGGCCGGAACCATCTCTAGCTCTTCACGACATGTTTGATCGATATGCTCAAGCACGACTTCCTAGGTCGTCCCACAGACCTTAACCCACGGTTGTCTCGAGCAGAGACAACCTGGTGGGCAGGATCATCTTGTGGGAAACGAGCCAGGTGGCCATGTAGCCTAAGTCGGGGATTGTGCAAATAACAGGTCTCACTGGCAACCGTTGGTTGAACACAACTGTACCCCATTATCTGGCGCAGGGACCTGTTACAAAAGGCATCAAGACGAGATTCCAAAGTACAAGATAGCGTCCAGGTTTCACTATCGTATAGTAAAAGTGGAAGTGTCTGGGCCTTGAAGACACATAGCTTCTTCCTTCTGCACAGGTACCAATATCTTTAAATACTCCTGTTGAGAAATTTCATGACAGCCCGGAGTCATGAACTACATTACCGAGGTATATAAAGCTCTCTGTGACCTCGATGTTCTTACTGTAAGCACGTACTGACTAAGCAGGATGTCCTAGCATGGCCCCCAAAGTTCTGGATCTTGGTCTTGGTCCAGGAGACCTCTAGCCCTAGGGGTTTGCTTCATTGCTAAATACATCAAGAGCCGCCACTAGGGTTAGCAAAGTCAAGGTCTGTAACCTTGATATTGCCCACAGTGACTTTGGTCAATAGCTCTACCCAATATCCAGTCCATACAAGTCTTGAAAAGTGCTGGTGCAAGAACACCGCCTTGCTTCACTCCTTAACTAACAGGGAACTAACAAGTTCAACAGGTCCCCACCACACTTTACAGCACTTTCAGACCCAGTATACAGGCTTGCTATTAATCCAATAATCCTTGTTGGAATTCCTTCTAGTCTCAGAATCTCCCTGAATGATTCGCGAGTCACCATATCAATCTTGGGGAGGTGCAGTGAAAAGGCCTGCCTCCCCACAGCCACCCATTATTCCCAGGGGGCACGGGGGCAGGAGTTAGTATGAAGCCAGGGCGTGTCCACACATCGGTGACCATGACTCCGTACCTGTAGGGTCTCCTGCTGCTCTAAGAGTCTCGACAGTTCAGCCTAGGACCACAAGGTACCTAGTTTCCATGGGTGGCCACGAGGAGGCACGACAGGTCTTGATGATGGAGAGTCTATGAGCTCCTTTTTTTGCACAAGGCTAGCCAGCGGAGGCAACACTTAACACTAACTAGGCTATCACAACATTTATAGATATTAAAAAGGGTGAATAAGTGAGGTAGATAGAGTTAGATAAAGTTAAAGCTAAAATTAAAGTTAGATACAAAGATAGAGATAGAGTTAGAGACAGACAGACATGCTGATAAGATAGAGAGAGAGAGAGTAATAGACGGGAATATAGTAAGAACAATGAAGTTCTCTTTGTAATTTGAACAATATCTGCCCTGCCAGATAGTTCCATTTCAAGAATCAAGAGATCTTTTGTCTCCATTGCTCTTCTCCAATAAGTATAAAGCTATCAAAGGTTCATTAGAAAGCACCAGATGCAGTCAGTGCTAATCAAAGGTTAAACTGAATACAGATGTCATGCAAAAAAGGGTTATTTGAATCAAAGCATGTCATGAGGCAGAACAAGTGCGACACACACACTCGCTTATATATACAGTATATATCAATGTTAACAACTCCCTCCAACCTGCCTAACTTAAAATCACTTTATTACTTCATGATGACAAAATTGCTTCTTAATGATACCTAGATTTTTACAACGATAGCATAAGTGCCTTCCCTTACTTAGTGCAAAAATAAGCCTTTATCTTACCTTCCCGTAAAATTGATAATTCGAATATCTTCAAATCATGTTACCCTACAAGTGATATTTTAGTGGTATAGTGTATTGGGCCTATTTAAATCGAAATATTCGTAACTTTGAAAAAAAAAGTTTTATCATCATTAAGTCCAAAACACATAAATATGGAAAGCACAACATACTGATCTAGAACTTATCATACTGATTATTATTATTATTATTTACTATTTTGATGCACCTCTATCTATCTGAGATAGACTGCAACATGCGCTTGGCTTCTTTCTGCAACTTCTTCTTTTGCAACCATGCTTAGATTTTGCTGCAGGAATAGCATTCATTATTTTTCAACCTATTTTACTTCCTTCATATCAGCACAAGTAAAAAAAAAAATATATATATATAATCATAATCATTTTTCTTTTAACATGGTAGAGGGTTAGAGAGAACCTTTGAATTCAGGTCCGTATTTAAATATGCACTATGTCATTTAGCTTTTCATATAAGGTAATGACCAGAAATTCGTAATTGCCCGACCTTTTTGCTTAAATTTCATAAAATTGTCGAACTGCCTTAAATACCAGTGAATTAGAGTGAATTACTTTACGCGCAGGATGAATACCTTATTCCATTTTCTACACATACATGCCTTCATGCATGTTTTTTATTTATGTACATCTACATCTGTCTACCTGTCTGTCTTCCAGTCTCTCTCAGTGTATCTCTATCTATCTATTCAGTTATCTATTTATTATCGATCAGTATATCTGTCCATTACCTATCTATCTGATATCTGTCAATCTGTCTATTATCTGTCAATCTGTCTATTATCTGTCAGTCAATCTATCTATTAATTGATATATCTATTCATTTATATATTTATTCATTTATATATTCATTCATTTATCTCTCTACTTACCTCTTTACTCGATCGTTTGCGATTTGCGAAGTTCTAACTTCGCCCGGGCCTTCGGCTATGGCCCGGCACCTCTTTACTCATTACCTTATCTATCTAAATATAAAAACGCACACACACACACCAAGCTTTAGACATGAAAGCCTTCCAAACATGAATTTACCGCCTCGCTTCTGCCCCTTTAGCTCGGAGGTGGTGAAACCTTTACCCGAGAGAACGAAGCTTCACTCGCGATTCGAAGCAATATCCAACGCGATAAGCCTAATATCCCTACTGTATATATCTCAGAAGTAGGCGATAACTTGCCAAATAACATATCTTATCCCGTTACCAGGCGCTGGATGAGAAAATGAGGAATTCTGGGAAGACATTTCGTATTATAACGTAGGGACTTGGGGACTGATTAGTTTCCTGACAGTGAGGAAAAAAAATAGGGAGTGCTTGATGAGACTGTTTCGCCTTTGTGTGCGCTTATTATTGAGACAAATGTGAGATAGATACGATTTATATCTTCTCAAGTAGAAAGTACAGATACGTAAGTAGAACTACAGATACTTTTATTTTTCTTTAGTCATTTTTCTTACTTTTACTTTTATTTGTCTTGGGTAATTCCAATAATAGATAAATAAATAAGTAGATGAATAGGTTGGCAGATAAACATAAATACATACTGACAAGCATACATACATACATACGTACATACATACATACTGACAAACAGACAGACAGATAGATAGACAGATAAATGGACAAATATATATATATAGAGAGATACATAGATAGATAGATAGATAGATAGATAGAGGGAGAAAGCAGGAAAGAGAAAAAAAATCCTGATTCATGCTAATTAGGCTACAGATCGAAGGAAGAAAAACACATCAACACGTTTCACAATTACACGAAAATAACAGCTCTTTGATACATCCTTTGACTAATTAAAAAAAAACATATTATTCACATCTAATTCGTAAGAAAAACTGTTAAACTAATATTAATCACAAATGAACGTTCTTTTCGATGGCCTAATTAATTTTGATAACGAGTAGAAGAGGTAATAAAGTCAGCTGATGTCGATGTACGTCAGCAATAGCAAGGAAGGTCTACATATACACCTTGGCCAAACTAAAGGTCCGTATAAACTGTGGCCACACTGAAGGTCTATATAAACCTTGGCCACACTGAAGGTCTGTATAAACCTTGGCCACACTGAAGGTCTATATAAACCTTGGCCACACTGAAGGTCTGTATAAACCTTGGCCACACTGAAGGTCTGTATAAACCTTGGCCACACTGAAGGTCTGTATAAACCTTGGCCACACTGAAGGTCTGTATAAACCTTGGCCACACTGAAGGTCTATATAAACCTTGGCCACACTGAAGGTCTGTATAAACCTTGGCCACACTGAAGGTCTATATAAACCTTGGCCACACTGAAGGTCTGTATAAACCTTGGCCACACTGAAGGTCTGTATAAATCTTGGCCACACTGAAGGTCTGTATAAACCTTGGCCACACTGAAGGTCTATATAAAACTTGGCCACACTGAAGGTCTGTATAAACCTTGGCCACACTGAAGGTCTATATAAACCTTGGCCACACTGAAGGTCTGTATAAACCTTGGCCACACTGACGGTCTATATAAACCTTGGCCACACTGAAGGTCTGTATAAACCTTGGCCACACTGAAGGTCTGTATAAACCTTGGCCACACTGAAGGTCTATATAAACCTTGGCCACACTGAAGGTCTGTATAAACCTTGGCCACACTGAAGGTCTGTATAAACCTTGGTCACACTGAAGGTCTATATAAACCTTGGCCACACTGAAGGTCTGTATAAACCTTGGCCACACTGAAGGTCTGTATAAACCTTGGCCACACTGAAGGTCTGTATAAACCGTGGCCACACTGAAGGTCTGTATAAACCTTGGCCACACTGACGGTCTGTATAAACTGTGGCCACACTGAAGGTCTATATAAACCTTGGCCACACTGAAGGTCTATATAAACCTTGGCCACACTGACGGTCTGCATAAACCGTGGCCACACTGAAGGTCTATATATACACCTTGGCCACACTGAAGGTCTGCATAAACCGTGGTCACACTGACTGAGCCGCGCCGTGTGCCGCCAGACGATGCAACATGTTAGAAACCGCCTGGAAACATCCTGTAGACACAT